GCCCCTGCCCCGGGCTTCCTGGAATCAGCCGCTGATCAGTTTCAGCAGCGGCTGAATCTGGACGCCAGTTCCGACTTACATACAGATTCAACTTAAGAACAAACCTACAGTCCCTATCTTGTACGTAACCCGGAGACTGCCTGTATTCAGTTTGTAAAACCTGTCATGCAATTTCACCTCGGAAAACGAAAGCTATAGGAGAGCCTGCCCCGGGCTTCCTGGAATCAGCCGCTGATCAGTTTCAGCAGCGGCTGAATCTGGACGCCAGTTCCGACTTACATACAGATTCAACTTAAGAACAAACCTACAGTCCCTATCTTGTACGTAACCCGGAGACTGCCTGTATTCAGTTTGTAAAACCTGTCATGCAATTTCACCTCGGAAAACGAAAGCTATAGGAGAGATTTCAACCAAGAAACAAGAGACAGGCTAGCTGTGGGTTTATTTGTTTTGATGACAAGGAGTACTTAAAGTGAGGTCTTTGGTCTAAAGGAAACTTCCATCAACATACTTTATGTTGTAGATAAAAAGAAAAAAAAAAGACAGAAGATAAACTAAAACTATTCCTAGATTACATACCAACAACTAGAAGTCTCCTGCTGTGTAATCTCCATTATCATTTGTTTTGTGGTAACCTCTACCTAGTAGGGATGTGAATGAGTAGTTGACAAGTCGATTAACCAAAAGCCTAGGCTTATTGGTCAATCTAGTCAACTACTCGCATCCCCACGCTTGCTGCCTCTGTATCGGAGGCAGCAATGTGGGGGAGTAGAAGCCAGTCTGGGAAGAGGAAGCTTAAAAGCTGGTTCCCCTCAGCACTGGCTCCATGATGCTACCTGCAGCGAGGGGAGGGCAGGGGAGGCTGCCACAAAGCAGTCCCTACCCACAGTGGAGCTAGGCTCACTGAAGACAGGCTATTCCACATCCCACAGAGCTTCGTGACAACAGCCCCAGTTCATAGCTAGCCTGGTCCACTGCGGACACAGGCTGCTTTGTGGCAGCCACACCTCCTTCTACCTCTCTCCAGCAGCCTCTGTCTGTGGGGATCTCAGACCAACCATGGAGAGGAGCTGCTTCTGTATCAGAGGCAGCAGTGTGGGACGGCAGGCAGCCAGTCTGTGAGGGAAGCTGGGTTTTAAACAGACTCCCCTTGAGGATTGGCTCCCACCCAGCACCCTGTGCTGCTGCCTCTGATACAGAGGCAGCAGTGCAGGGGGCTCCCCAGGAGTGGGCCCAGATTGCAGTGGCTGCCAGCCCTGCCCCAGGGTCTACAGAATAGTCAACTAACCACTAAGAGTTCATGCAGTTAGTCGACTATTCTGTTACCTGCTATTTAACATCCCTACTACCTACAGGTCTGCCATTGACAAGGGTCCTATCATGGCAATGATTGTACAAACACAACAGCAGGACAGCCCCTGTACAGAACAGGTTACAATCCCATGTGAAACTTTGAAGAGCTAAATAAACTCCATGAATTTTTCACAAGAACCACCTTTCTAGCTTAAGTTTCATATTATCTCCAATTTTGAATATGCACTATAAAATTGCTGATCAACTAGCAGTGCACCTCACCACATACACCCTCTGTCCTTCCGGTATAACATAATACATAAGTGGAAGTGAATCCATGGAAAATAGTGATTGAAATTGTGCACTAACCAAGTTACCAGACTGGCTACACTATAAACTACACTACAAACTTTGGGCAATACAAGTTACATAGGCACAAAGCTGCCACAGTTACCACGTCGTGTGCGCGTGTGGGCATACTTTTCTTCCTGTGTTGGTGTTATGGGACACTTGGGTCAATGCACAGAGCAGTACACTATCGATAGATATACCAGTGTACAACTTGCCATTGTCCACCACTATAGTTTTTGGGAAGTTTTCCTAATGCAGTAAGGCAGAACTGAGTCACACAGGAGTGCCTAGGAAGAAGGGTCAACTTCCCAGCATGCACTACCTTCGCCCCATAATAAAATCTCTGTAGTAATTTTCAGGCCTTTTTAAAAATCCCATGAACCTGCCTGGCAGTCCTCACAGTCTGCCATCTCCGACAAACATGGAGCCTGCACTGGTATGCACTAATAAGTACTGAAAGCCCTATCATCTGATATTTGCAGAGCCACAAGAAATACTGAATGAGCAGGAAACATGACTAGTTCTTGGAGAACAGATTTCACAGGACATAGTGAGAACCCATTCCA